GAATTGATGCATTGAGCATTTCCTTTTCTCTGCCCCCCCCGCTTCCCACTTTTACAGAGGTAAATGCATGTAGGGGGTAAGGCAAGTGTTGGCTTTTAAATTTCCAGGCCCTGCAGCTGCTCTACTCGGTGTTTGTGCAGATTTATGGAGGGGGCCAACCAGACTTTGGGCTGCATGATGTAAAATTTTACCATTCATCATGATTGATTAGAGCCCACACTCTGTGACAGAGCCCAAACCTTACCATGACAATTGCTATTTCAGTTGTTATGGGCCGTAATGGGCCACAGGGATAATTTAAAGGAGCACAATAGCTATCTGTAATTACACATGAATAATCCATGAATTCCACACCACCACGCTTATGATCAGACCCTAACAACCAGGGCTTGAGATGCTTATTCTTGTCCTCTCTTTGGCACCTGTGCCAAAGGTTGCCAGTTGATGAAAATTTAAGCACGACAAGCTTACTTCTCCCATGTCCAGAGTTCTAATTCTTAATACAAACCACACACTTGGATTTGTATGAATAGTCATTGAATTTGCTCTGCATTAGAAAAAGATGCCTGTTACCATTTCATCACGAGTTTCAAGCAAATATGTTAGAAATTTGGTTCAATCACTGGAAGAATGAGAGGGGAGAAAGTAGAACGTATCATTATCACTTTTAAACTAACATTTCACTTGATGTTCTATTCTGATTTGACCATGTTGGAGAAAATGATCAATACCATACATAAGGCTGTATGGCACAATGGGAATTTAATAGGTGTTATGTAAACCTTAATAACTGTCGAGACTAATGTACTAACCTAGGGATTCATATGGTGCCTCCACAAGAAATTATTCTCTAACTGTATGTCAGCTGGGGAGAGGGAGACACTGCTCAGTGAATTCAGGCATCTGCACTGTCTGTAAGGTTCAGGTGCTGGCACAAACACATGCTTATCAGTGGCTCCCCAAGATGTTCCCACACCCAGAACAAATCTTAGAGAGGAGACCATCCTGCACATACAACAATTGTAAAGTATTTTTAAGAATTTCCTTTTTTTGTCCCCTTGGTACTTCCAGAAAACTCCAACACTTCAGATTTCAAACTGGGAAAGTTATGCAAAGTTTTCATAAGCTTGCTTCTGCTAATTCTTAGAATTTGTGTAAGACACTGCTAGATTGACTCCACTTTGAGATTTTAGCTTCCTAACAATTTATGAAGCAACTTCTGGCAGTGTTTCCTGGCCTATCTACCACATATTCCAAAAAAGTGTCCCTTCTGCCTGGTTTCTGACAACATTTCAGTAGTTCAACCTTTTTTGGAACCTACTTAGTGTTGTTTAACTCTGATGCATTTTTCATACTGTTCAAATATTTACATGCAGGGCTACAGGCTTATTAGCAATCTGGTGAAGTATTTGTAAATCTGGATCAAAATTTTGACAGGATATTTATTGCATTGACTTGACCTATTTTCTATCTAAAGCTCTACTCCGTAATTCTTGCTTCATTTGATGTTAATCCTATGCATAAAAAGCAGTAACGAGGATATTTGTACACAGTAATAATCTAGCACACAGAAGGATTCTGCTAATCTGATTTCATCTTGGCCTCTGCCAGGAGGTGAAGCGCTTCACACCTGTGATGGTTTCCAAGCTCCAGGAGTCCCTAAGATGACCACCAATGGACAAATTACTGCATTTTGCTTTCCTCCTCTCTCATAAAAGAGCTGCAAGGGTCCTCAGCAGCTTAGAGGACTTGCAAACTACAATTAGTCCAATTTAGGATCACACAATGTTTTTTCAACCCTTGGACCATTTTTCCACCTTCCATTGTCGTAATATTGAAGTTTGCTTTGGCAATTCTGCTAAATGGGCTTCCCTACCTGGAATGCAACACTTCCTAGCAATAGTGAAACACAACCATTAAAAAGTAACTAATACAAAATTAAATCAGAGATGACAATTTTTTTCCCAATCATGCAAATGATGTTGTCAGATATCATTTCCTCTCAACTGCTTACATTTGCCTGTACATCAAATAAACACGAAGCAGGGTCATGTTTTCTTCAACAGCAAATTCTTTACAAAATACTGCAAAAATAAAGACTTGTAATTGGGATGACATAGAAATCCATGTACTTATCTAATCAGCCCCATCTCATCTTTGTTCCTACCTCTCTATAAAGGATAAGGCAGTTTTGCCCAAAGGAAGAAATAAAAGGGAATCCTCGTTAAAAGGTACATTAACGAAAAAAGAACAGCTTTATTGGGGTATGTGCAGAAAGGGATGTTTGAGTAGTAAATGATAATTTACTTTTGAGGTATATTAAAAAGGTTTAATCTTACTGATCATGAGTTAAATTGGATGTTTTAATCAGTTAGCGAGTGCCAAAAATAATTATGCCAGAGCGCTTAGTCTGCAGAACGTGTACACAAAGCATATAAATCCTTTGCTTCCCCAGGGATTTCTCAGAATAACACACAACTAAAAGACAAAAGCGATATCAAACTCATATAAATTAACATTGCAAATGATCTGAAAAATACAATAAATAACATGATCCCATCACTTTGAATATGCAGCACAGGGAAGAGTGTCCAACACAAATACATGCATTAATCTCCTGTACCCTTCCTAAACTTTTTCAGTAAACTTTTTTTTCCATTTACTTAGTACAGTTCAATTGAAGGTCATTCCTTTCATTGAGAGAGCTGGGCTGGGTGACCAAGCATAGCAATCTGTGTTCCTTTTAGAAATGAATGTGAAAAATAGGATTATTTTCCTAATGAGCTTTGATTGGGGAAGTGAAAGGAGTTGTACCCAAAGACTTTGACAGTTCTTTGCAGCTCTAAAATTCTGTTTTTAAGATTAACGTTTATGAAAATTAAAAGTAGTTTTTTAAGGTGAAAACCAGTGTAGTGGGGGCGCCAATATTTTAAAGCCATTAGCATTAGCAATTCTCACAAATCTCTTTAAAAATGTAACTCCTCATAAAGTATTTTAAAAATATACGCTTTAAAAACTACAATTTGTTTGCTCTGTGACTCACTGCTGAAATTTTTGATACCATCTGAATAAAAGAAATGCAATACATTATAAAGATGAGTTAAAAAGCTGTGGGTAGATAAAAATCCTTTCAGCTGTTGCATAATGAGATTGGAACTGAATTATTTCAAAAATACTAATAGTTGAAAAGGCTTAGAGAGACCATGTGCTTTATTCCATTTGTGTGAAAAATATAAATGATATGTATAATTTTGTGTGTTACTTTTGTCACACCCCCTAAATCCTAATTGAGATTTATTTTTGACATATCGTGTGAACTAACTACATCTTGATGGTTTGATTCAATTACAACAACATAATTTTAAAATAATATCACTACTATTTCTTCCATCAATAGTTGGCAACTTTTTAAGTGCCATAGATTACTTGTAGCCACTGATTTAAGTTATTTTTTACTAGTAAAGAAAGTTACAATTCAGGTAGCAACAAAAAAAATTGAAAGATTTCTAAAATGTATGTTTGCCCTTAAATAATAGAATCACTGTGAGATATATATACTCAAGTTTGATGTAAAAGCTTATCATTTTCTGTAGGTTGATGATTACTGAAATCTAAAAGAGTAGGCTGAGGTTAAATGAACCATTAGTTATACATCTGATGCTTTTCCCATCATGAAACTTAATTGGTTTACACTGATTTTGTACTGGAGTATTTAGGGACAACATGGGGGCTTTTCTGCCGATATGAACAGCTGCTTGATTTGTTAATGAACAAGATTATCAGTAGCCAATTGCTCACAGCTGAAAAACTGCCTGCTTCTGGTTAGTCCGTTAGAGAGTAAAGTTGTCAAATGTGGTTTTTGTGCTTGACACTGCTGCATGTGAGGTGATTTGGGTGAATCTGCCTGTCCCTCTAGTAACCCAGTTTCATTAAATGCAAATTAGGACCACTATGTGCCACTTTTTACTCTCTGTGTACCAGATTTAAGAATGCCGTAGAATTGCCCTACTTTAGAATACAGGAACAAATGCATCCTGTTACCATGGACTTGTCGTTGGCACTACTGCCTTGGGAAGTCAAAGCTCTCCCTGAGAAGCTTAGAGGAGGTGGTGATGATGGTGGGGGATTGCTCACACACATACACATGCAACATTTTTTCCAACAATATGAAGAAATATAATTGTAGTGAAATAAACTTTCATTAGTACCTATAAGAATACTAATCTACATTTAGAAAGAATCTTCTACTAACCCATCTCCGGGGAAAGAGCAAATTGGGTACCAGGTTAAAAAGTGAAGATCAAATAAATATTTTGCTCCAAATAACAGGCCATATCACATAGACATTAGGTAATTTATATTTGTAAAATGTATATGCACTTTCATTTGCATTGCATTTCCTGGTATCAAGATATCAAGGGACTATTTTATATTTATTTGTAAAATATATTACTTTTTGAATGTACAATTTTCATTTCTCTACATTTTTGACTAAGTGTCTCCGATATTTATTCCAGAAATGAGATTAACAACTATATGCAAGGCTCTTCAGAGTGCTATCCATTATCCCCTTTTACCCCAGTGGCTTCCTTTTCATATTTTCTGATGCAGAAGAAGTGCTTCAAGTGACTGGACAGTCATAGACTGTTTTTAAACTTTATTTTACTTTATCTGCTACGTAATTTCTATACAGAGAATAACTAAAAATAATCCATTTACTGGACTGCCAAAGGTGATAGCTCATTGAAGTTTCGAAAAGGAGATGATGATACTTCAGATATTACATATGAATTCAAAAGAAATTTTCAATTTAGTGTTTTTAATTTGTTATGTTATCAATAATGCTATTATTATGTTAGTATTATTTCATTCCCAAAGATTGTCATCTTGGTTTACAAAAATAAGTGGGTCCTTTAAGGATGTCATGTGATCATTAAATTCATCTCAGGAACAGTAACATTTCTGTTCTCCTGGACAATTATTTCATATCCCTCTTCCAGCTTTACTCCAGCTGATGGCATCCTCCCCCCATCACTGAAAACATTGAAGCAATCAGAAGACAACCTCCAGAGGACCTCCCTTCCACATTTGACAGTGTATTTGTTCATACCTCTGCCTTCCTGCCTGCTGTCATTTCCATCTACCCCCTGTAACGCTAGCATCCCATATGGGTACTGGTTTGAGTCCCAGTTGCTCCACTTCTATTCAAGCTTCCTGGAAAAGCTTGGGCCCCTGAACCTACATGGGATACCTGGAAGAAGCTCCTGACTCTGGTTTTGCAGCCATTTGAAAAGTGAACCAGTAGATGGAAGACCTCTCTCTCTCTCTCTCTCTCTCTCTCTCTCTCTCTTTCTCTCTCCCCCTCTCTCTCTGTAACTCTGCCTTTCTAATAAATAAATGAATCTTAAAAAAAACTTAAGTAGTATCTGAAAGTTCCTTTGTGTTCTCCTGCAAGATGAGGAATAGAGAAGAGGGTTTGGATTAGATCAGGGTCAGTGACTTACCGTGACTTAAAATAAATTATATGCTCACCACATGTGCTGCTCACTTGTGAATTATGAGGAGTGATGAAGTTCTAGCAGGTTGAATTTAAAATCTCAATTTGATATTTAAATCACAGTGACTTGGTGACATTTCTTTGCATAGGTCTTGGGACCAACAGTGGGAGTCCTCAATGTATAACCTGGAGCATAGAGGAGCATACTGAAACAGAAAACAACACTTAAAAATTAGAAGGGATCAGCACTGTGGCATCACGCCTGAGAGACCAGCGTCTTACTAGACCCGGTTCTGGCCATTTTGGCCATCTGGGGAGTGAACCAGAGGATGGAAGATCTCTGTTTTTCTCTTCTACTCTCTGTGTACTCTTTCAGATAAATAATTTAAAAAAAAAATAGAAAATAGGGTATTTATCACATTTTCTAAAAATGTATTTTAAAATTCAAGTATAAAGGTAGCGTATGTTAATTTTATAAATTATTTTAAGATAATATTAGGATTTCAGAAGCAAAAGCACACAATATATAGCCTGTTCCTCTTTCCCAGTTCTACCTGATAAACAGTTCTAAGATTTGGAAAAATTTTCCTAATGCATACATATTTTTTACAGTCAAGTGCTAGTTTAAAAGAATTATAGAACACATATATTGAACAAAATTGATAATTTTCATGTATCTTGTTCATAATATGTATCTAATGATAGAACCTTTCTTTTGTATGTTCTATTTCATGAAATAATGTGTCTATATATACATTCAGACACTTTATATTAAAGCTTATTAATCATAAAATTCAAAGATAGAGGAATAAATTACTGTTACTCATAATATATACAGTTTAGAATAGAGTGAACAAGTCAGTGAGTTCATATATACAATTAAAATAATAAGTAAAAAAAAATTAAAGAAATAGAAAAACTAAAAGAGCTTTTGGTAAGAGTTGGAAGGGAGCCTCCAGTATAGAACTGGGTTTTACCTCAGAGACATGACAAGTTCTGAGAAGTCATTAATAAGAGATTTAAAACCAAAAGCATAGAATCTTTGGAAAGTAAAGTGAGTTTTTCACCAGCCTCCAAAAGTAAAGGTCAGATTGTGAGATCCTCCGAGAGAATGGGGTTCCAAAGACTCTTCCATCCACTCATTTGAAAGTTGAGTGCAGAGTGATCTAGGATGAGGTGAACTGTACCAGGGCTGCATCACAGCACCACAGCAGTGCAATGCTTGGTATGTTTCAGGTGACCAGTTTTTACTCCTTTTGTCTACCAAGATATCTATCGTCTGTAGTCAGTTCCCACAATCTTTATACATAATATTCAGGATTTAACCAAAATTTACTTGGCACACCAAAGACAAAACCACATACCTAAAGCAAAGAGAGAAACAGGAAACAGACAAATAAAACGTGTAATCATTAGAGTTAATGGGAGGGAGCTCTAAAACACCTATGAGAGATATGTATACATGAAAACGAGGGAGATGAAGTTAGATTAACATTTTTACGGTAAACTAAAACCTTAATAACAATCAAATAGGAATTCTAGACCTGAAAAATAAAATAAAATATCTGAAATTAGGAACATATGAACAGGAATTTAACAGCACTTTGAGACATAGTAGAAGACTGTTCGACAGAATGAAATGTGTTCAGGTCCACAGACTATCAAAATTGGTGAACAAAGAGAGGGAGGAGCAAGGAAACACGTTCACAAAAAACAATTTAAATATGTTGAGAAGTGAAAAAAAAAAAAAAACTAACATGTGTAAACTGGATTTCCAGAAGAAGAAGAGAGAGAGAGAATGAAAAACTATATTTGAAGAGATGTTGGTTTAAAATGTTACAAAACTTATAAAAGGCATCAACTCATAGATTCAAGAAATTCTGTGAATCCCATGAAGAATAATTAGAGAAAATTATATCGGGGCACACCATAGTAAGACTCCTGAAAACCTGGAGCCAATGCTGTGGCACAGTGGGTTAATGCCTTGGCCTGAAGTGCCGGAGCCCCATATGGGTGCCGGTTTGAGACCTGGTTGCTCCACTTCAGATCCAGCTCTTTGCCATGGCCTGGGAAAGCAGTAGAGGATGGCCCAAGTCCTTGGACCCTTGAACCCACGTGGGAGACCTAGAGGAAGCTCCTGGCTCCTGGCTTCAGATTGGTGCAGCTCTGGCCGTTGTGGCCAACTGGGGAGTGAACCAGTAGATGGAAGACCTCTCTCTCTCTCTCTCTCTGCCTTTCCTTCTCTCCCTGTGTAACTCTTTCAAGTAAAATAAATAAAAATCTTTAAAAACAATTAAAAATAAAAAAAAAGACTCCTGAAAACCAAAGACAACTAAAAATAAATTAACAATGAGAAAGTACGAACTACAATCACACACAAAGTGTCTATGAGTCTACAAATATTTTTAAATGAGAAATAAACGGGCACACAACTGTATGTTCCACATAACTGCATTTAAATACTGCTCAGAAACAGTTAACAGTACTATTCAGTGCTAGAGGTTAGAATAGTGCAAACTGCCTGGAACAGGTGCACAAATGGTGTCTGGTATCCCACAAAGTTCCATCACTCGATCTGAATGCCGTGGTTACACAGGTGTGCTCACTTTGCACAAATCCATCAAGATATCCACGTAGAATAATTACATTAAAATGGATACATTTGAGAATGAGGCCCTAGGTCAATAGGACATACAGAAAATAGTAGACTAACAGCAAATTATAAAAGTAGGATTGGGGCCATTGAGATTGTATACATGAAAGACAAGGCTCAAAACAACGATATAGAAATTCAATAACCATAGTTGCTTAAGTAATCTTGAAAGTTTTTAAATAAATATTTTCATAAAGAAGACTCAGCTAATAATTTTTTTATGCTTGTCAGATTCTGACTTTGGGATGCTGACAATGCTTTACCTTAAAGTGTTAAATGGTTGAGTCATATAAGAATTCTAAGATTTAATGTTCCACCAAAAAAACCAAAAGAAAGCAAACAGTATAATTCTTCCTTGTTTTTAAAATAATGTATATAGTTCCATTGTTCTTTAGCACAGTGCTGTCAAATGTGTAATTTTTGAGTTGATTTCCTTCTTTTCAGACTTTCTAGAGTGTTTGACAGTTTTTTTTTTAAATAATAGTGTAATAATTTCAGTGAAAATAGAAAACAAAATGAGAAATGTACAAGTCAGTGGTGGTGTATATGTTTCGGGATAGAATTAAGATTTAAATTTTTGTAAAAGAATATAATTCTAGCTTATTTGTAAGGATTACAGATATGGTACATGATAAGGGATGTGACAGGAAAGCTGGTGCAGTAGCAATAATAGTAGGTGACATATTAGCAATAAAACTAAGTGCCAACCAAAGTCTTTCACAGTGACTATGCCAAGACTAAAATAGAAATCAGACACATGTTTCTATCAGATGGGGGTTCATTGGTAAGATGCAGCTGTTGCCTTCCACACAGAAATTGAAGATAAATAGATTCATGCTTCAAGAGGTTACAGCATATTCTGATCATCTAAATTCAAGTTGCATTTTAAATAACACGAATCACCAAACAACATAAAGTTAGGTGGTTTCAAACGTTCTGTCAAGTGTTAGTGATTGTCAAAGTGCCCTTCAGAAATCTCTACATCACAGTTTCTATTTTACTCAATTAATTCTTACTAAGTACTATGGAAAACATTGGTTGTCGCCTCTGAATATCCATTCTCCCCTTCTTGTTTAACAATAGAATTCTGATTTTGCTTTTTAATTTTAAAATGTTTTTATTTACCTATTTATTGGAAAGGCAGAGAGACAGAGACAAGGGGTAGACAGACAGATAGACAGGTGGACTGAGGTTTCCTATCTACTGGCTCTTTCCTCAAATGCCTGCAATGACCAGGACAGGGCCAAGCAAAACCCGGGAGCAGGGAACTCAATCCAGTTTTCTTATGTGAGTGGCAGGACTCAAGTGTTTGCATGATCCCCTGCTGCCGGCCACTGTGTATACAAACACCAGAATCCCCATTTTTAATGGGCTGACACGCTCAGCTTCAAGACCATATTTCCCACCTTCTTTGTGAGATACATATATATAATGGAGATGAGGCCAAAAGATCAAAATGAAATATTATATACTGGAAGTGAACAAAGTGCCTTAATCCATCCTCCTACTGCCTGGGACACACACACATGACAACTGGAGTTCCACTGCTCTCCAGGATTCCCAGGGGCACATAAGAGTGACAAGTGGATGACTGAAAGGAAGCTGGCACCTAAAGCAACTGCAGAACTGCCATACCACTGGTGTTCTGCCTACCTCAGGCAAGGCATTTGAAGCACAAGGAAAAATACACTTAGCTCACTAGTATCTAAGATAGAGATGTGATACAGCCAAACCTAAATGTGACATGCCAAGTACAGAAAGCAGGGTGTTCTTGCTCTTGCAAGAAATCTAACCTTTGCACAGTGGAGGGAAACTTGGAATGTATTAGGTTGAATGGGAGCATGACTATCATTGTGTTTCTCTTTAGTAAGTGAAAAATGATGCTTTGATCAGAGATGCAGTTAATTATACCTCTCTGACCTCATTTAAAGAAGGTAATTTAGATCTTTCATATGTAATAATTAGGAAGTAAAATACAGATTGAAGTTAGATAAGTCAAAAGACTAGTTGGTTGAAATCGTTTAGACTACTCTATGAATATATTAGACATATGGAGAGTGAGATCAGATAATCATTGTCATTCATTAAATATATTCAGATCTCTGTATTACATGGCTGTATAAAGAGAAGTTCAAAAACTCATGGAAAATAGAATTAAAAGGTAGAAATAAAAAAAAAAAACTTTCTCAGTGTCTATCAAGAGCAAGATACGTTTGTAAGCAATAATCGAAGCTATTTGGTCCATCTCTCCATCTGAGAGTCCTGGGAGTTAACCAAGTGAATGTAGTCTTCTTTACATTGTTAACTGAAGAAAAATGGATGACCTTTAAATACTTTGTAAGATTAGAAAACAAAATAAGTCGGAAAAAAATTTCCCTCTGTCTTTATGTTTCAAATAGGATAAAAATAAATTAACACAAATTTTTAAAAACAATGAGCCACATTATCAGGTGGATGCCCAATGATTTCTCATTGAAACTTTATAGAATTTCTTTTCATCAGGATTTTGCTGGAGAAGAACTCTCTAATGAAGGGGTCCCAGGTGTTTACTTTCTCAAAACACTCCCCTAATATGCAGATGTTATCATTCCCTGACCCTCCAGAAG